CCATCAACACCAGCTTGAAAGCAGGAGGTTTGAAATGTGCTCTCGCATGGCCTGGCACTGAACCAAAAAACCCATCTCTCCTTCCCACCTCAAAGCCATTAACACTGTAAGGAGCTACTAATCAGCAACTGTTCACCAGCCAGACAACCACACATTCCTCCAACCTGAACTCACCACTCTGCAACAGCAGTCCTGCAAGAAGCCAAGCTGCTCTGCATGGGTCTCTTCAAAACCTTCAGAGCTAGCGAGCGACAAACCGGCTCTCAGGCAAAATACAATAGCCCTCTATGATATAGAAGGGCGTTGTATTGCAGAACCTCTAACAGTAGGTTAACATCTCATTTTGACCAAATATTAGGTATCGAAACCAGATGGTGCGGACTCTGCTTTGGCTTGCAGTTCCAAGACAGGACCTTATTTTAAATGAGACAGGCTATTTCCAATCAGCCGAGAGGCTTCAACGTACCGTTATGCATTTCCCCACTCCAAAAAAAAGACTCGGCTTCACTTTAAGTAAGGCATCATCAGAACCACAATGCAGATTTAATTTTTTTTCCCCGCAAGGTTCAGCAATGAAAGATGGGAGGGAAAAAATGGTTATAAGAAAAAGTGGGCAGGTCTGATCATACAAACGTGCCGTATCTTTAAATAAACAAACGTCACAATGGCAATGCTAAAAGGGACAAAATCACTCTTGTCCATTTGAAAACCAGTTTAGACTCCAACATCTGGGTTACATATGTTCCTACAGAAGGGTTCTGTAAACCAAGGCAGAACAGCACCAAGCCCTGGTCAAAGTACAGAACAGGTGTGGAACACACCACTGTAGTCCTAGCACAGACTCCAGCCAGCTTTCGTAAAGGGACTTTTGCATCAGAAAAAAGCAAAGTATAGACATGCTGGTATGGGGTTGGGACATCCTTATGTTAAGCAGTGCGGCATCAAAATTGCAGCCATCAATTCAAATCTGTACTGGTGGTTCTCCCCTCGTCTGCTTTGTGATGCTTCTGGATTCTGTCAATAGACGCATGAGCGCAACACCTACATGAATCTGATGGTCCACCGCATCCTGCAAAAAGGGATCAAAATGGATCTGCGAGCAGTGGACTGAAAAGGAAACGTGGTATTAACTTGTACCCCCAAAACAGACATATATTAATCTGGAAAATGGGGAAAGCCACAACATTGCTAAAAGATTAACTTTGGCACAGATGACGTCCGAAGTCAAGACTCAGATCTTTGTGGTGAGCCATGAAGCAAAGCAACTGAAAAACAATTTGCATAAACCAAAATTGGAGAAGTTAAGATAAATTGGTGCATAAGCGTATCACACAGAAAAGCAATGTTAAACAGTGAAGTCCAGAAAGTGATCATTGCTGAATTTGTATATTCTAATGAGTAGAACTGCAATATTGCACTTCTGCCCTTCCACAAGGAACTTCCAAGAGGCCTATACACAAACCAAAAGTACTTCTGAGTTTATTTAATAAAATACTAGTAAACTGGTAACTACCAGATAGTTAAATGTGGAGAACAAGCTTTATCTGGTGTCCACGTACATCGAAAGTATCAAAAGCTGCCAGTTTATACACGTCTAAACAACTGTACGCACCTGCAGAAATGCAGTCATCACTCCAGGTAGAAAAGGAAAGACGGCTTGTCTTGATCCTGTACAAACCCAGGACTAAGCAAGGCCACTGAAGAAGCCTGGAGAACAGGCCTCTTCCCCAGCTCTAGAACATTCACATCGGATACAGTCATCTACTGCGATAGAAATAAGATCAAAGGGGAGTCATCGCTGAAGCGAAGGAAATTAAATGAATAGCTGGGTTAGCAGGCACAGTGGTCTGTAGTTAATACCTTCCTGCTCCTCTCTGCCGCTTTCCCACTTTGACAGCTGTTTGCACAGCAGTAATGAAAACTTTGGGGAGGGGTTGGGGAGAGGAAAAACCACACTTAGCTCACCCACTGGCTAGACAGGTTAAACTGCGCTATTCCACTCAGGTAAGCTGCCTGGCCAGACTTCACCGAGCGCCGTTAGGATGAGATTGTGCAAGACGCACACAATCCCAGCGATTTCAGACACAAGGGCCACAGACCAACCGCAGGCCTGCCGTCACCCGAAAGGCTCAGCTGGAGGTCTGGCACGGACTAATCAGCTCTGACAGGACAACCCGCAATGAAACGTTGGGGTGCAAGCTGTTAACGCATCCAACAGCTGCTAAAACGAATACACAATTCCTCCTCTTTCATGTGGGATGTTGGGTCCTGCCACCGGGACACCCCACACCACCTTCCAGCTTGGTGCTGCCCCTGCCACTTGCTCCAGAGCTGTGGATAGGGTCCCCTTTCTGATGACTGGAAATGAGGTAAGCCCAACTTCTACGTTTAACAAAAAAAAATTCCCACTATTTAAAATGGAAATAACATGTGCCAA